TAATTAATATCACTATAATAGTGCACTAATGAAAAATTTACATTTCCGAAAGTAGAATGTGTACGAGGCAGGAGACATCTTGCGCGCGTGAGTTGAATTTCCAAGTTTATTTTTAAGACAAACATTGTTGTCTCTTGTACCTATATATATATAAATATAAACTATGAAAACGGAATAAATACTATAAATAATAATATATAATGTAAATGTAATCTAACATTTGAAAGTGGTGGAAAACGGTATTTCAAAAACAACGAAGAAGATCAAATAAATCAAAATAAACGTATTTCGACGACAACGTCTAAATGCTGCTAATTGGCCACGTACTTGTTTGTATAACATAATATTCTTATGTGTGCATATGCATTAAAGTAGAAGAAATTTAGTCAAATTTTAGAGGGCACGACTTACATATTTAAATAGACAACTGAAATATTACACTCCTTTCTATTAATGTTCTAAATTATTGTATCCCTTATCGTAAATATCGATTAATAAGCAATAATAATTCATAAGACATGATAAATATACATAAACAAAGATAAGATAATACTTCTGTAACAGCAAAAATATTTATTTTTATTGCCAATCATCCAAATTTGGCTTTAAAGCCAAACACAGCACGAATGCACGATACACCAGGCCCATAGAGTATTCGACACAATTTCTTCCACTCTTGAAAAAGAACTTTATTGCACTTGTACTTTTCTAGACATCTCACAAGCTTTTGAAAAAGTTTGGCATGGAGGTCTCCTTTTTAAATTCCGTAAATCTCTTCCCCTTACACTATTTCTGTTAATTGAATCTTACAGACTGACGTTTCCAAATATGTCATGGTTTCCCTTGTTCAAATATAACTGTAATTAACACTAGAGTTCCTCAAGGAGGTATACTCTCGGCAATACTGTTAAATATTTGTATGCTTCCGATCAACCATCTAATCGAAATACTCTTGTTACTGGTTATGCCGATGACTTAATTATAATATAATCATCATCATTAATACACAATAATGCATTAATTGCAACAAGATGTTACAATCTCATTTAAATCTTCTTTATGAATTCTACTCAAAATTGCAAATTTAATTAAACCACAATAAATCCGATTATACTACACTCACCTTAAGGTAAATCCCTTCTTTCGACACTGCTAAATACTTAAGTCTAAACCTCAATAGAATACTAGATAACTTGGCAAAGTCATACTAATAAAAGACTATTAAAGAGCTCATTGTCGATCATTAAAAATAAATTCATTGCGTTAAAAACAAAACTACTAATTGATCAATCGCATCCAAAGCCTGTAGGACGTATATAGAATTGAGTCCATATTTCAGGGATCCTCAAAAAAATTAAATTTTAACAAAATACAAGAGTCCCAAAATATTACACTTCGCAAAATTAAAAATGATCCACCCTTCGTTTCTAACCTGACCATTTATAGAAACCTTGGCATTTAAACTATAGAGGAAGAAACTACAATTTTCTATAAACGTTTCTATACCAGACTGGAAAACCACGGTTGTCCACTGATTAAAAACTTACATATCCCGTCACATCCAGGAAACTTCGTATCATCGCAGGCTTTAAAGAAAATGGTATAGAGATATTCTAACCTAAATCATCTAACTTAAATCCCAAGCTAAATGTCACTAATGGCTAACACTCAACCCCAATAATGTTTCTATCCCCTATGTGGCTAAGCCACATACGCTTATTGAGCTTGATTATACATTTTATACATTAAAAAATTTAATTTGAATTTTCTTGAACTCTTTTAGTAAGATATTAACTATTGACTCCAAAAACAGACCAAAATAGAATCTATTTTCATTGATATCAATGAGTTGAGGTCGACATAAAGCGAGTTATATTTTTGTATACTTAGTGATATTTACGACGACGCACATTCGTTTGACATTATTTTACGTTTCGCATACGTCGCATATTAGCGTTTCAATCCTCTTCCTTTTTATGTTTTTTTCTGTTTAACTATTGTTATTGAACAACTTTTAAGAATTCTGTCCGATAGAATATTATATATTACGCAATGTGCCAATTCAATAATAATGACGTTCGTATTTTGATTCTTGCACTATGTGTGTCATAATTATTATAATACCTACATTATGTTTACCATACGAGCCTTTTGCGCGTGTCCCTTAACGTACGAGCTGTCGAGAGTCAAAGCAGTGGAACGAGCGCGGTCCGAAAACGTACATCACAAAGTGCAATAATTTATATAGTTTATATAATAATGATACGATGGAACCACGTCGGTTCGGTTGTACGTACACACGGTCGCGCGCACACATACGACATTGATGTTAACAAACCGTAAGTCCTGTTTCGCTGAGTATAATATAATATAATATAATATGATAATAATAATAATACGACATATTCGTGTATGTGGTGTATCTATATAGTGATAGTAGTCCGCGCGTGGGCTGCAGCAAGCCTAGGCGGTGCGCATAAACCAGTCGTTATAATAAAAAAAAAAAAAAAACGACGTGGGGCTGTGTAATAACGCGAGATAAAAAGCGAACTCGTTGCGTAATTTGGGAGTCCTTAAAAACCAAATATCACAATAACACGCTCGGGTCCGAGTAATTGGATACGCCCGTGTGCTTCGTCGTCGTTCGAGCCAAATTCGCGATGAAACCCGTCAGGAGAATGAGAAAAACCCTAATAACACATTTTAATGACTTCTTCATCTCCCCCCCCCCTCCCACAGGTTTAACTCTCCGCCCCACCCTCCAGCCGAAAGCACGGTATTGTCGTTTTATATGTGCAACCATGTACATATATAAATGGACGGTAATCGATACGACAACGACTCTTTAAACGACCCGACGGTTTTCATATTATTATAATGTTAAGTTATATTGTCGTGCGAATTTAATATTATTATGTCTGGTAAACTCGACCCTGATACACTTCGACTAATTCGACTTGACTCTAACGATGAAGTATTGTCGACCAAAAAAAAAAAAATACGCTTAATTATTTTTTATTAGTTTTTTTTCACATAATATCATGTTGCATTGTACGATAAACGCCTTTCGGCTCGAGTACTTGCACGCCGACCATAATATAATAATGCAAAAAAAAAATAATAATATCAGTTCTAACAATATAATAAAGATAATAGTAATAATATATTTATTCCACAATATATTAATTAGGTACAGCACAAAATATGCACAATATAGCTGGTTGTAGCTAGTGAGGACAATAAGTAAATAGGTACCTACGTTTATATTGATGTGGATTACTATACACAAAATCGCAATACTGTTACAGCGCAGTGTGTAACAGCTAGACTGTAGAAAGGCGGTTTTTTAAGCATTTATAAAGGAATTTGTAAGACGGAAACGTGTCAGCAGCACGAGTTGGTCACGTCTACATATGCCTACAACTTTTACACCTTTTTCATACTTTTATTTAATTTGTTGCGGTACCGCCTGTACTTGAAATGTCTTGAATTTTCAAACTTCAAAATTCAATTTAGGTGGTTCACCATTACAACTATATAGGTGTTCTGTTCGAAAATAGGAATGTCGCGATCTCGAGTTAACTTCTTGACAAAATCAAATGGGTTTTCAGAATTCATCTTATCATCTAGCAAAGTCACACACACAGCATAAATTGGTTGGAAGTAGGTACCTGTGTTTTGGCCAAAAAACAGTTTGTGGTGCACCTTAATGATGGCGGTAAAAAGATGATTATATGTTTTTTTTATGTACATCTGTCAGCGGCAGAATAACGTCGACGTCGCCGCAAACATAATATTATTGTATACTTTATTATCATTGCGAAAATCCTATGCACATTCATATTATTTTATACCTACGCAAATCGAAATTTATTACGTCGACCGCGTGCGCGCGCAGACAGCTTTTTATTTTTCTTTCTTCAATAACGTTCTTTGGCAATAAATCGTCGTCTGTACATATATAATATAATATACAAATACGAATACAATACATATATATATATATAAGTATGTTATTATTATATTTATATGAATCTACCGCGCGATACAATTCCAGTCACGGACCGGCTTATATAGGTGGGTGACGGCGAGCTTTTGGAATGTTTCTTTTTTTTTTTTACTATCATTTTCGCGGCAGTCGAAACGGTTCACTTCACATTTCGTTTTTGTGCGCACGATCTGCGACAGCTGTATATTATGCTCGACTTCGGCTGTGTACGTATATATGCCGCACATGCACTGCAGACAGATAGGCACGCGTATTATCCGCCCGGAATAGTATGTACGAAACAAAAACTCGCTCGTCAATAGCAATATAATAATTACAATACAACAATAATATATTATTATCATTATGTGTACCGCACGGAAACCAATAAATAACGTTTGGGTGAAAATAATTCGACGCGCGCGATGAATTCTGGCGATAATAATATTGTAACAATAACGGTCTCGGTCCAGTAGAGAACGAGAACACGGCGAGCATAATAACTAATAAGCGTAATGCTGTATGGAGACGAAATCTATTATTGGCTTGGGGGTGGGGGCTAAAATTATAAAACATCCGATGCTTCCCACGGTATTCCAAAATTCCGGACTCGGACACCATTGGTGGCAATAATTTGAAACCCGGAATATCACATATTATGATGATATGCATACATACACCCCGACACCCGTAACTGGATCTGCGTGAGCAAGTACACGTGTGACATACGATTATAAATAATAACATAGGTACCTATATGCCTGCAGAGTGTCAGGTTCGTTACATCACAGCTGCTGTACAGGTACAATACCTAACTCTATCAACCGCACTGGCTAGGTATTGTTTATTGATAAGACCTAGACCGAAAACTCAGTTCGGCAGAACCGTTTTTCGATTCACCCGCACCCCCATCACAACGACTGCATGTCTATTTATTTTTTGTGTTATAATATATTATACCTATTAGTTTATTCCTCCGTAAGTTAATCAATGGTTCCGTTATTGTTCACAGACCTCGTTTCATAATTTTGTCATACATTGATGCCACACGCTTGTGACCACGACGCTACAGAATGGAGGTTATTCCTCTGATAAGGAGTTCAGCCACCGGTTCGGAGGCGTCCAAAGGTGATAACGGCATCAAAAGACACGTCCAAGAATGGTCGAGACTTGACAGGTTGACCGGAATATTGGAGCACGCCAGAGTCGAAGCGGACCAATGGACCAATCACACTGCCAACACTAAACACAAATATGGAAAGGTAATAAAAATAATATAATGTGCATATGATGTATTATTATGTACCTATGTACAATGTCTATTTTGATTGATTAATATTATAATATGATATACCTAATATATAATGCAACATTATCGTTTAAGATTTAAAGGTGTTTCAATTTTATTAACCGGTCGACTCCATAAAAGGAAATTCGTATAGAAACGGATACACAATATTTTATCGTTAACGTTTTTAATGCAACGTTTTCCATACCATATCAAAAGAAAGCAGTTTTTTTCAATCAATTAATTATCAATCTCGTTTAATTTAAATAACTCACAATGGTCATCCTAATATTGTGGATCATGTCTCGTATTCTGTATTCGACAAAATGTGTACTTAAAAACGCGTATTGTAAAACCACTAAAACCTGTATAATATTATATACGAAATAATAGCACAGCAGCACTTCGAGTCGCGGTCTCTTACAAGTGAAGATTGAAGTAGGAACATATCGACATATTTTATAGTTGGTATGCGTTGTGTTTTTCGCAAAAATATAATATAATATTTTCCGAAAAAATATAGAGTAACAAACGCAGATAGTATTATACTGACCACTTTGAGACTGACCTGAATAAACTACATATACACATATACCTACTTACGTATATTATGGTATATGACTACAGAAAATTATATTAAAATGACATCAAACGATTTCAAACGGAATACATTACGTTTCGGCCAAACGCTTCGGACAGCCCTAACCTACAACACAGATTTTGAGGTCAAAAATCCTCGTTAGTGGTATATTTTGACTACGCTCCGGTTCATTAACCACAAACAGTCTTTATTTCAAACATAATTACTCGGTCGGCCGTGATCCTCTAGCCAATCGTTCTTTAACGACGAATTTCACCTATATATTATACGAATATGTGTATGTATGAGTGTTTGCCATTCTGATTATATCGTATCAACGAAAGAACGAACTAATTGCTAATTAATTGTATATAATGGGTGTTTGTCGTTTGACCGAAAAAACTTAATTTTCGGGGACGGCTGATTCGCCAAAAATAAGTTGATTTACGACTATATAGACAAATATAATATAATATAATAATAATATGATCATCTTGAGTATCAAAAGATATTTAAAGAACTTTTATAATTATATAGGTTTTATATCATCTAGTTTTGATTTTATTTTAACGATTATTTGTAAAATAAAAAGTTCTTAATAACAAAGCATCAATTTACTAGGTATATAGTATGTATATAGTAATATAAAATAAACACAATATTCCTAATTACCATATTTTATTTGTTTTAGTTTAAGAAAATTTACAGCTGAAAACCCGTCTTTAAACATAGGTTTCTTATAATACTCTATTTTGATTTTGATTCAAAATATTATAATTAACAAAAAACCTATATGTTATGTTGTCCTAATTTGCTTTGAAAAAAAATTCGAAAATAATGTAAAGACCCAGATCTGACTTGTATCGAAAAAAAGCATTGATAGCTTATTATAACCGGTGTAGCTCTCGTTTTAATTTTTTAATTTTGAGGAACTTTATCAGAGTAAAATACTATAATTGCAATTATTGGTGCTTGTATGAGCTATATTTACCTACCTATATTTATTCAAACAATATTATCACATATTATGCATTTATAGGTGGTAGACAGACGCGCCAGGAATCTCGCAGACGGCAGTAAAGAAGAGACGCAACAGACCAAACAGCTAGAAGTGTTTCAAGCTCACACTGCCGGATGCTCGGTACAAGTAATCAGATCTCAAACAAGTACCACCAGTTCGTGGCACAATTCTAGTGTAAGTCATTTAATACTCAGCGACGTGCACGGCGTTACGGCCGCACGGTGTCCGTCTCGTTGTTTATCGATCGTTTTGTTCATGACGACATATTATTTTTCGCCTGCATTCTTATGTGAAATTTATCGTGTTTTTTGTCCAACAGGCTGGTTCGAATGCATTCCAATGGCCGTCTTCGATATTCGACAAAAAAGACAATCAGTTTGATCAATTACGTGTACGTTATTAAAAAAAAAAACATATATTTATAAAATCTTTGAGGAAATATTTGATAAAAAAAATGTGCAAAGAGTACCAATTATTTCTTACCATTTTTAATTTAAAAAATTTTTAATTTTTAAATTATTAACTATAAAAATATTTAAATTCATATGAACTTTGAAATTTCAAAATTAAATCATCATCATGACTCATTGCATCATCAAATTGTTGCATTTCATTAGATCACACCAATTAAGTTCTATATTTTGTATGAATCCTACAAAATAACATAATATCATAACATTTTTTTTTTTTTATTTGAATTCATAAAAGTTAGAAATATAACAGTATAGATATCTATACTAATTTTATCATATCTTAATTTAAAAAATTATGATGATAAGAAACAAACAAACTAAAATAATATATTAAGTATGTACTACAGTTATCGAATATTTTATCTAATAGAAAAAAATTAATATTTCAGTCCAAACAAATTCCAATAATTGTTTGACTAATTTTTTGTATGTTTATTATATTTTCAGTTGGAACACAGTCCTTTAGACGTGAGTTCACAAAAAAGTAAAGCAACCGTAGGTCGTAGTGGATCAATTAGCACTAGACGACCACCTACTCGTAGACCACAAACCGTTACATCGCAATTGCCGAAAATAGAGAGTATTGACTCCACCAACTCAATGGAAACGTCAAGTAGCTTGAACGAAAGTAACGAAGAATCTGTATCATCGAACTTAAACCGGCTAAAAAGTTGTTCTAACGACGAAATACGCAGTGACATCAACGAATCGGATGAGCCGCTAGATCGATCTTCCAGATTTCGGAGGTCGTTGCAGTTTGCGCAATCCAAAAACATAGATTCTAATCACAAAATCGCCGGTGAACTAGAAGACGTATTGAAAAAGGTTCTGGGAAAAAATTTGCAAGTGGTGGATGGGGATATCGTAGACGATTATTCTTTGATTAAACCCGTATCGCTGAAGAAACCTACATTCATCACGGTTGAAAGCCTTAAGAAAACAAAAAACAACTTGAGACACTTGAACGAGGACAAGGATAAGGAAGACGATGGAATAGAGACGGACGTGAAACCCACTGGAGACTCAAGAAGCTTAGACTATAGGGGTTCGGCACTGACTCGCACCGAAGAGTGGTTTAACAGACGCAAATCTTACGGATTCGAGAAAGTGACAACATCGGATCACAGCGGCAAGTACGCAACAGATCCATCGGCAATGGATTCATCGACAGACAGTGGTATTTGCCGATCGACCGAAAACGGACTATCGAACTCTAGCAGGCAGTCATCAGTCGATCGTGAATCTATTGCCGATCTAGTCAAAAAGTATTCCAACAAGGAGATCAACAACAACACTCAGGCGCAAGCGTACAACACGACCGTAGTCGCCAAAGGAAAGATACTTGAAGCCATTAATAGCTTGAGGTCCAAATCGAGTGCTTATTTCGACGTTATCAAACCTAGCGACACCATTTCGGAGTCCACGGAGAATGACGAGAGTGAAAAGGAACAGGTTAGAATTGAAATTACAATTTATTCATTTTTGTGTATTAGAAAAAATCCGTCAGTCGTTTTATGCAACTGTGTATTTTTCAGGTGTACACTAGACGACTGTCGGTTGGTATGGATATGGCGACGGATAAAAATGTCGATAGAGATGAAGTACCAAAACGTCATTCGATAGCGGTAGTAAGCGAAGTAGCAGACAGAGAACCCAGCATCGACAAGAAAAACGGCAACAAGAAAGTAGAATTTTGCAGGACCGAAGTACACTTCGATGCGACTCCGGGTAAGATAAATATCGTGGACATGGAAGACAAACCAGCCCCGGCTCAGCTGTATCGACCGAAAAAGAGGTAAATCGATGTTATGTGATATAACGACATGGTTAGCATGTATATTGATAAAATTATTATGTTCTTTATAAGAGTGAATGTATTTAAGTCTCTTATTGATAATTATCAATTCTAACTTATTCTGTTGGTTCATTTAATTATTTTAGATTCTTGCCAAAGCTATATGATTTTAAAATGATGTGTGCTTTTTTTCTGTTTCTGCCTGTCGTCAACATTTGGGATAGTAAATTGTTCTGATTTTTGACATTTGTTCTGATAGAAAAGTGAACCTAGTCAAAATAGAAAATTCCCAGTAGTTTTTGAAAGCGTTGGAAAAACAAAAAAAAAATATTTAAAGATATAATTTTATCATAAGTTCAAATTTTTAACGAAATGCATCTAAGTCCCTAAGTACATTAACAAAAAAAAGTAACGCTATTTAAAGCCATAAGATATTTTCAATTTATATCATTTTTCTTTTAAATTATTCAATTTGATTATTTATACAAGTATGCTAGGCTGATGGACCGTCTCCGCTCAGAATCGTTTGTGATTCTTTTCAAGTCGTATACATCCACTCAATGACATGCTCAACAACTGCTGTACACAGCAGAGCAGTACCCACTTATCCACCTTTTTTTTGTACTTAAAATGTTAAAAGTATTTGAGCAGTATTATACAATAATGTTACTATATGTTGCTGCTCGTATGTTCATTTTAAGGTACAACCGTCCGCCCGAGAAGAGCAGCCACGGGCTTCCAGAATATCGGTTTGGAGACGACGTTCAAAATGACGTCGTCTTGCAGATCAATGGAACTGGAAACCAAAACGGCGGAATCAGCGGCAACGATTGTCCGACGACGGAAGACGAGACCACAGACACGGGCAACGGCATGCCAAAAAGCATACTGAAACGGCAACAGATGCAGCAACTGCAACAACAGCCGCATCACCAACAACAGCCTCATCACCAACAACAGCCTCATCACCAACAACAGCCTCATCACCAACAACAACAACATCACCAACAACAGCAACAGCAGAACGCCACCGATAATTCCGGCGGCGTGGCGTCCGACAACGGCATCGAAGTGAGGATCTCCTCGACGGAATCTACGCCCGTAGACTGTAGACGAGCGTCCTGGTCCGTGGCCGACAGGGTAAAACAGGTGGAGGCCGTAGGGTTCTCGACCCGAGTGAACTTCACCGAGGGAGAGACGACGGCCGTGGGCTTCGACCCGGCTGATCCCAGGAAACAGCGGTACTCGTACAACGGGACCTCCTCGCCGGTTTGGTACCAGAACAACGGCAACAATCCATCGGCCACCTCAGGTACGGTTTGCCTAACCCAACCAAACCTTATAACATTTACCTAACCGGCTGCACTTACAAATCTATTCGGGTTTGGTTTTCACTCGGCTTGGTTGACTTGTACTGCTCTGAATCGTGCTAGTCGGTTCCAGCGGGATGAAGCTGCTTCTACCTGTAGACGCTTCGCTTATTTGTATAACACGTGCATCACGCTTTTCACGTAGCGCCGTTATTGTGAGACAATAATATTTTAATGCATTTTGACGCACCAAAGTAATCAAATAAAATAGCGACGTACGTAAGATTTCGATTTTGTCAAATGAATGAAAACGATATTTTATACAAAGACGATTTTTATCGATATAAAAATATATAACAAAATTTTAATTATTACGTCTAAACTCGTTCGCGTAACATTTTATACCATCGTTACTTTTCCTAAATATTCTTATTAATTTATAGAGATGAAATCGGGTGAATCGCGGACAGGAAAATTATAACAATTTTAAACCTTAATGAAAATATTAAAGAGTTCGTGTGCCAAATAAATGTTTTGCGTAGGTTATTTCTATTTATATGAATTTCAATTTATGAGCAAAGCGTTAGTGGCTTGCCATTAGTTTTACGGTGTTATTTCGAAAAATATAATTTTGTGACGGTAGGAAAACACAAACAGTTTTTTACAGCATCTCTGTATATTGTAAATTTAACACACAGTGTTCATAATAATAAAGTACCTACTTGAAAGAGAATTTTTTTTTTTAAATTTCCGTAAGTCAAAATAAAACAGTCAAGAAAATATACAAGTGAGCACCACAATAAATAGTTTTCAAAAAATTTTAAACAACGAATTCGTGTTTTGGGTAAACCAAGCGCACTTAGCTCACAATCGTTTTTTGAACGCAGTGATTTATCATTGCTTTTAAATGTAAGAGCCCGCCTCAGTGGTCCACCCAGCTCGTATATCACACTTTTATATTTTATTTATTTTAATTAAAACTGTATGACTCAGTATAATTTCTATAAGCGTGATTTATTTTCACCACATTTTGAACTTCCAACTTGAAACGTTTTTTATTTAATATGAATAAGATATGCACTGGTAATATATTTCTTCACAAGCACTTATTATAATAATATATAACCAAATTAACTCATAAGCCATAATGCTCATAAAATATAAAAATGTATATTAAACACATTACATTTTTTTTTCAATTTGTTGACTCAATGTTTTTCGACAAAAATATAGTAAAATATAATAGCACGCTCTAACATTATTCGTATAATTTAAAACCACACAACGGTAAATTGTTTCAAAACACCCTTACAGCAGTGGGGGCTTACAACTATTATACAAAAGGATGTATATTATATAATATTGTGTAAAGTCAAAACGACTTTGGAAAATTGCACATTTTCTTCTACTATGTTTTATAAATTATTATAAGAAAAACAATTTTTTTTTAATCGTACCGGAAAATAATGGTCTACGCGTCGAAAAGCTGCAGCATGTATACTTGGTAAAACCATCACGGACTTTTTAGCGCTTTGTATGTTGATTTATGTTGTACCTATACGCTAGCTCTTACCGGCTTGAATTATTGGTATATTTGAACGCAGCTAGCAAGTGTATTGTAGTGTGCTGTACATGCGATGTGTTTTGTACGGCTGACGGGGTGATGGTTGTTGGGCTCGGGTCTTTTTACAAAACAAAAATGAACACAGTTTAAGACACACCGACAGCAACCCCCCTGAGTCAGCTGTACAGCTTTTTGGCAATTGTATTTGTATCATCCGCCGTAGTGTTGGCACGTTGAAACGTGGACATTTTTTTTTTTTTTTGCCGCATGGTAGTGTTGTAGCTGAAAGCATGTGACGCGCTGTTGTAGAATTTACCGCGTTATTGAGATTTAAGAGGATGTCGTACGTGCGTGATTCGTGGTCCATAATATTATTTATTGTAAGACAGACTCCGAGTTCGTGAACCTTTCCGTATACATATACATATTTACAATAGTATACAGGCTGATTCAACAAGTGTGCTCATCCCCGTGTTTTTATTTCATAATGAATTTATTCAATTTCTGATTTTTGGCATTTCTAAATATACTAGGAGTGTCCTGGTAACGATACAAACTTTTGATTTTCAAACTAGAACCCCCCCCCCCTTATCTTAATGTAAATTATTTAGTCGACAACTTCTTTGAAAATATTGATGTGCTTAAATTATAATTAAATTTGAACAAGTTGACTTTCAGTTCTTAAATTGTTTATATGAAGTATTGTAATAGTAGTCTATAAAATGGTTTTACAAAAATAAAATAGATCTAATATCAGATATAGTATTTATTATACTTAGATCATTTTTATAAATTATTAAGTATATTAGTAGTTCAGTATTGATTACTACACTTTTAAAACTACCATAACCCCAGTATCCCAGGTACCATGGGTCTATTGATTATTATCCTTAATGCATGCAGTACACAAAAATCGATAACTCAAAAACTACTCGTTCAAATTTGTATTTTGATACGTCAAAATGTTCAGAACATTTATCCGCTAAATAATTTGGTGTAGAAAGGGGAGTTGTCATTTTAAAAACAAAAGTTTGTATCTCTACGGAGCACTCTTTAAGTAGTGAAAAAATCGTAAAAACTGGAAAATATGCGTTTTAGGTATATTTGAAAGTTTAAAAATTCAGATTTTGAATAACCACATAATCGCGGGGTGTGAAAAATGAGCATGCTTGGTGAGGCATTCTGTATAATGACCGAATTTTTGTCGAAAAAATCTAAAGAAACTTTATATATGATGTAAAGTGGTTTTAATTTTTTTCGAAAGCATAATTATTGTTAGCTTTTAAACCACTTGTTATTTAAAAAATAATATTGACAAATAAACATCTACTATAAATATGTATTGTTTAACGGTTTCAATTCTACAGTTTTCATACATAATTTCTGAAGGCGGACTGTTACATGACCACTCTTCAAACATTTTTTTTCGCTACGCATTTACGTACACGTTTTGCGCCTATATACTTGAATCGTAACATTTTCGGTTTCCTTTCTTTACTTTTTTATACTGCTCGTCGAAAAACCCCTCTCAGAAAACGGGCATACGGCATCCTTTTGACGATAATAATAGTCTCGGGCGCACGTTGCAGATACTTCGGCGAAGTGCCACGAGAAACTGTTGGTGCGCATCGGTGGCGGTGCGTGCAACGCAACCGGCAAACCTAACGCACCGGCCGCCGCCGACCTGTGCGCGTTCTCCCGGTGCTTCAGCGACCAGACGGCGGGGCATCACCTTCCGCTGTCGTCCGCATCGCTGGTGATGAACACCAAGTTCCGGACGACGGAACAGCCCAGCACGTACCTGGAAGAGATGAACACCAAGATGCTGGGCCGGTTCCAAAAGGCCACCAGCACGTCGTGGCCAAGGTGCGGCCACAAGACCTACCCGACGCCGGCCGCTAGAAAGCACAGCGTGCTGAAGAGCTGCGCGGACATTAAGCGCGACCGGGCCACGAAAGGCATGCCGGACGTCATCGGCGCACTGGACGATCTGAGCAAGAGCATCGACGCGCAGATCGGGGACCGCTCCGCCGACCGGCATCACGTGACGCTGATCAAAGTGTGCCAGCCGTGCGACGAAATCCACGGCCGGCTGGAGTACGCCAAAGATCTCATGAGCACGGACGAGACTAGTGAGGAGAGTTTAAAGGCTGACGAAGAGGTGAGGTCGTACATGGCCGCCGACTGCATTAACGAAGACGACAGGCTACTGGAGTGCAATAATCTCAAAAAGCTCATATCTACTGTAAAAAAAAATATCAAACAATCGCAATGTTCTCAAGGTACCGATGTTATTATATATACGTTAGTAGAAGTATTAGTTCAGTGGAAGTATTTAGTGGAATTGTAGTATGTATATTATAAATTTATAGGTATCAGCTGGTATATACGTTTAGTAGAAGAGAATGTGCAATTATCGTATTAACTTGATTATAGGGACGGGGTATAATTATTTACAAATACTGGGCCAAAAAACCCTTTTTTGGGAGGGGGTACACACTGAAAACGACTGAATATAGTAAACACGACTGACTGTGTGCCGATGTAATTTTTCAGATAATCGTCTAAAAAAAATGGACGTCAAAACGTACGAGTCGACATTGGTGGTGCCAAATGTCACTTCGGTTTTGTTGAACCACGAGAAACAGTTGGAACCCGAACGGTCTCAGTTCCAACCAGTGAGCGTGCAAACCTCGCAAGTGACACACGTTGTAAAACACCAGTTTGAAGACTCGCTCCAAAAACAGCCAAGCAAACGAGTGCCGGTGAAAATCGTACAAGACAATCGCAAGAGCAAGCCAAAAACGGAGGCGCCTGTTACCAAAATGTGTGCCACCGTTTCTTTGAAACAGGTAAAAATTTGAAAGGTTGAATAAACGCAAATACGTAGGTATATAAAGTTTTGTTCGAAAACGATATTGCATAATTATATACCTACCTGTGTATCTGAGTAAAAAACTTTTCAAAAACTATTAAAAATAAATATTCAAATACTTAACATAAAATAGTATTCAGAGTATATTTTCGGGTACTTTACAGTAGTAGTATTCTCACAGTATTTTGAATACTATAAATAAATAGGTATTCCGAATGTCTTAAAAATGTAAAGGTTACCTACTTAAAGTAGCTACTCGTTAACCAAGTATTAAAAAAAACAAATCTTTGATTATTTTTTAATCATATACTCTAAAATCATATTCGATGGTGCTTTAATTTATTTACATACTATGAATCAATTATACTTTGAAAAAGTGTTTAATACTTACGAAAAATATAATTTCAAAAATATTTACTAAAAGTACTTACCCACTGAATTATATCAAGTACCCAAATGTATTGTAATAAGTTATCTACGTAATGTTATCGATGATGTTTCTTGTTTCAGGTTCCTATGACGGTGCAGCCGAAACCGGTGCAGTGTAACGAGAATAAAAAAAAACCCACCGAAAAGAAGGAGTCGATATACGGCAACGTCGGGTACCGCGCCAACAGTCTCAGAGTCAAAGATAAGCCGGCTGCGAGCAAACAGGCGCAGGACTTGTTCAGCACGGGCAGGGACAGCTGGCTGAACATGCCCAAAGACCTGGGCCCCAAGCTCAACAAGTCCAAAGCGACCACTTACAAGTGTCGAGTCAGCCGGAAGGAGACTGTGGACTCTGAGGTGTCGGTGTTGGAAGAACTAAACCGTGCAGCGGACGAGATACTGAAAGCCGTCAACGGGTACACCGACGACGAGTCGCAACTCCCCAACGACGCCGGCGACGACAGACCTAAGCCAAAACCCGATCACTCGGAGGCGAAGCTCAAAAACAAAAAGAAAGCCGCTCGACTTTTACAGCGAGCCAACAGCAGGGAGGCACTGTTGCACCTGGACGAGGTCAGTTCGTCGGATGAAGACGCAGCGGACGAAGTTCAGAGGGTCAAACCGAAAATGCAAAGGAAAACAAAGACCCAGCCACAGGCCACCGCCAACAGTGTCGCTACTAAGACCACAGCGAGTTTTACGAAAAAGTAATATAGTATTTTATTAGCAACAAGTATATATTAATATTATCGGCAACTCCACCACCCCCTCAGCCCTCATAATTATCAACTTAATTTTGAATTGATTTGTATTTTTCTATAATAAATAACGTAATATTTTTAAATACATCTTGAATATTTGTTTAAATTCTTGTACATACATCTCTATTTCATAACAAAAATACAAACAGAAAGTATCTTTTTTACGATATAGTCCATCTCTCCTGGGCCCCGAGTAGCAATAATATATTATTAACCTATTGGCAATTACGTCGACGAATTAACTTGACCCTTGATAATAATATTACTATAAATTCGATATTGTGTACGATAAATCTGATTAATACGACCATTCAAGCCCTTGAATCCTAAGTCAAGACTATATACTGCTTAGACCTTGCACGCGAATATTGTGTAGGTACCTCTCTTATCTTAAATTAAACTTAAGGTAACACTAATTCCATCTAAAGTTGAATAAATATGCAACTATATATTTTAACATATAACGTTTAATTGTTTCCAAACTGCATTTTGATTTTATAAATAAATATTTATTATTTATGAAAATACCTAGTATTATAACATTACCTAATACTTGAAAGTTAATAATATTAATTAAAACATTTCGTTAACATAATGAACGTTATAAAATTTTGTATAATTTTTAGTGTTTTGTATGTTCGATAGTAATATTACTATTATATCGACTTCCCAATCGATGCGTAGTATACGCTTACACCACAGTGTCAGTAATTATTGTATGCATCGTAACTGGCTGTTACTTTTGATTACCTAGTAGTTATGTGCAAGTTTATGACTTATTTAATATTATGTAGTGTTATTACTGTATGTTTAATTTTAAAACTACAAGAAATCGAAAATTATTTTTGTCAAATATAAATTGGATTTCACAATATTAATTTAGGAACCACTTGTGAATATTAACTGTAGGGGGAAAAGTAGGTAACATGAATTGCGTGATTATCCAAAAAGGTACATTTACCTGACGCCCACGTATATAGACGATGTTGCGATCCTAACTAATACAATTAATAAGCAAGTGATTTTTTTTTTTTAATTATTATTATCAAAAATTTTATTCTCCTCTTTTTCAGAATCCAAAGTCGTACACAGAACGTAACAAAAACTAACGTGCAACACAAAGTCCATCCGACGTACTACGGAAACGTGTCGAGTTGTACGCAGACACCGATAAAATTCCGTAACAAGCCTTCGGAGACTTTGTCTAAACGTGAGTGTTATTGTTCTGTCCATGAATTATTATGATGCCATCGACTGGCCGACTTTCGGTGGAAGTGTTTATAACGTTTTGTAATGATTATAGAAATCGTCGTCGATCAAAAGGACACCAAAGGGAGGTACCAGTGCAAGATAACGACCAGAACTTTTAATTCCAAGTAGGTAAATTACTTTTGCATGGACATTTTGGCAAACCGCCGAATAAAGCGATAGACAACGTACTATTTAAATGACATTACGGTTTTTACTTGATCCGCAGGAAACTGAAAGGTTCAGTCGAGGAGAACAAAAACTCTATCAAGGGATGTTAATTATAATATTAGTTATTATTACATTAATATGTTAGAATAAGAATTTTTTGTTAAACAATTTAAACAATTATAAATCTAACTTAACAAAATATTGAAATATTATACTTTGACCATTAATGTTACGCGTAGACATGTGGTCCTAACTAGAGATATTAATTTATATATCAGCAATAATTTTTGTTTGTAAAAAAAAAAAATACTGAAAAAAATTAGGTAAAATAAATTTACATTAGTTTACTTGTTTTTTTATATATATATTATTATATTTACTCGTGTCTCTTTTAGTCTTTCATCGTGAACTACTACTATATATTCAACCTTATATTATTGTCGAACATCCGCTGACTTAAAAATAAGGTTGTTACGCCTAATATGTTAAAAACAAAAGAATATATTTATGTAAACTTACTTATGTATAAATTCAAAATAATAATAAATTGTGATTTATTAATAATATTGTTTATTTCTTATTAACCATGTATTTATTGATTGAACTTTAAATGTAAAAATGATTGAACATTTGGCTATTAAAACAGCTTGATTCTTTATAACTTGTGTTTTATCATTCTTATTTACAGACTATCATTTTTAAATCTCAGATTTAATTCTACTTGGGAATTGTAAATTTTTTGTGATGCATACATCAGATAATATAATATGATAATATTACATCAGTTGTACTCGTGCATAATGCATTATACCAATTACTGTCATTTATCATAAATTATAAAGAGGTATTATATTATTATATTATGTAGGTAGTGTCTAAATAGGTATAGAAGATACGAAATTATTTTTAAATTACAACATCATCTGATAAGTTATTCAAAAAACTGATAACTTTTTTTCGTTGTGTCAGTGCAGTGTTATTGTTCTAACTAAAATTTTAAAAAGGTATCAAACTAAACAATATAAATAGATTGCCTACATAGTGTAAAATTTTTCGAAAAAACATTTTTTAATTTGTATGTAATAACATGATTAACAATTTTTAAACATATTTTTAAACCTATTGATCGAAAAAAATGTTTAAACGTAATAATTACTTTACTGATAAGATTTAACACAAAGAGGTAGTGAATGAAGAACATAATACGATTCTGTTATATGTATTTATGTATATATATGTTTCTAATAGTAAATGAACAATTTACTTGGACCCTTGAGATCTGCACTAATCGATTTCGACTGTACTCAAACTAGGCATTTTAGATTTAAGGTCGATTTATACTATAAGGAGGATTTGCCCCGAGACATAAATATCGAACTGAATGGAAACAGTTCTATAACAATGACCAGAACAATAGTAACCGCACAACTGTTGCTGAATGTTCACTTGAAACCATGAGTTACTAATAATTACAGTATAAACTTTGTCATAGTCTAACTTTAAGATTGGTTGTCGTTTCGATAATAGCCTTCGTAGTAATAATCATTACACTAGATGAACAGAGTGAACACAAAACTTGTATCGCACAATCATGCTCTGAAGACCTTTGAAGTTCATGACAGAGCGATTTATATTGATTGATACAATGATACTGTATAATAAACTAAATAAAACTAGATCCCATACGATGCCCAATAACAATTTATAATTGGTATTTAAAATTATTTCAAAGAATTATGGAAACAAGAGTAAAAAATACTATGAGGTACTTATAAATATGGAAGAAAAAATTTGATTTTTAGTCTGTGTTTAAAATGAATGTTTTTATTGATAAATCGATACAACTATACCAAGTGTCACCAGTAAGACTTTTTGTAAGCGGCTGTTTTTAAACACAGTGAAATGTCCATAGCGCGAAGTCTCAACAGGCAACAACATAAGTTCATATTTTAGTGAAATTTGTTAAATAGAATTACATAAATTAATTTCTAATTTTTGGTTCTCAAAAATATTTTCGCTTAACAGAAAAATTTGGTAAGCGGAAGTCCCCTATATAGAAGTTTCAATGTAGTATTAACTAGAGCGTATCATATTTTAAGGGGTAATATTTAGGCAATTCATATGACATGTACAAATTGGGCTATGGTCTATGTGTGAGTAGTAAATTAATATTGGTGTGTGTTTCGTTGTCACGCGACGTCGGGCAACCGCAGGTGGATGCAACTCACTCACATGTCAAATCATAGCGAAAAATGAAATAATATATTCTTGTTTGCATAGCTATAAAAAATACCAAGGGCGGTAGTAAATTATTAATTAAACATAATTAATGGAGTTCAATAGTTATTTTGAAAAATGGTTGAATTTATAAGCTTCTAGACTATATTCATTAGTAATCACTTTTTTGATTTAAAATCTTATGTGCCCAAAATAAATACAAGTGTAATACAATTATTTCATGGGATTTTAGGAAAAAAATCTCTTAATTTTAAAGTCCTTTAAAATTGAAAATCAACTTCTTAAAAATTATAGATATTTTGTCAAAGAATTCTTAAATATAAAAATTAAAAAATATATTGGCATATAAATACATTCAAAATTAAAATCAGACATTCCAAACTATGTATAATTTACCACCGTGTGAAAAATACTTGTGCTTTGACTCCCTTAATACAATTTATCGGTTGGAAATTACCAAACTTCACATTTTCAATGACTTGTTTATTTATTATTATAGAACTAGGTAGGTTTATAATAATATGATGTACCTTCCACTTTATACCGAAGTTATTTTTAATATTTCTAACAATATTAAACACTTAATCAGAGTAATAATTAATAAACTATGAAGCTCAATTAATATGTACCTACATTGTACCTACCTAGAGACACAACATGTATATAAAATAGTTCATAAATATGCACTTAAAATGTATGAAAGATTATCTTATGATACTATCAGGTATTCAGACAATACCTATGTAAATATTTTACATACAACATTATAAACTTACTGGTAGTAGGGAATCTTCCTTCAATTATCTACTCTACGTCTCTACTCTCTACGCTACACTACCTAACAAACAGAGTTAAAATGTACACAATTCAAATTTAAAGTATTGCAATTCGATAGACTAATCAAAATAAATTGTGTTGAAATAAGGACATTAAATATTTCATTTGTGACATGTCATTCTAATGATTTTTATCGCGTGAATATAGTGTTTACACTTTACAGCGCCAATTTATAGCTTGTTTAATTTGCATTAATTAACCAGCCAGTATTTCCTAGTACTGTTGTCAAGTGTTGAGTATTCATATAGCTATTATTTTGTTTCAAAACATAATTATTTATGTTTACGGTTTTCAATTCCCTTAACTCCCAAATTTACTCACACATTCATAATTTGTATCAACGTCTATAGAATTTTTAAAGAACTTTTTATGATACACATTTACTATAATTTATAATGATCTATTAACTAACTCACAATTATTTTCAAAGAAAATTGATTAAAATGTCATGATATATACTTATTACGAATTAATAATTATTATTGAATAAATATTTAGCAACGATTTTATGATATTTAGTAACGAATTTTATATTTATGAAGCAAACATAACATTTTGAGAAATATTATTTTAGTTATCCATGATGAATATTATATTATATTTGTTTAACTAAATACTAATTTTTCAATACTTATACTGAGATATTGTAAATATGTATAGTATTTTGTAGACAAAATTATGCTAGAATTTTCAAATTGTATTGTAGAACTATATTCATATTAGTTTTAAAATGTATTATTGAACAATATATACGTCTTAATCGAATTTTAAATATTTTATCTTCAATAAAAAAAATACGAGAGATATTTTTTCTGAAAATTTTGATGTGTAAAGTAGTTAAGCCAATTTGTAGTTAGGTAAATATTTCATATTTACATACTATAATGATTGATCTGAGAACTAAGTAATGAGATGTGCCACGTCTCGCTGAGATATCTCATTCTACTGAATTTGTATAAATGATAATATCAATAATAAATTAACTATTGATTAAATAATAAATGGTAGCAATATTATGCACACTACCTTTTTTCAAAAATATTCTGATAAAAAACATAAAATTAAAAACATACCTAAGTCAATATTAATAGAAAGTAAAATACTAACATAATAGAAGCTTTTTAATTAGTACGAAGTAATAATAATTGATTCCATACTGATTGAAAACAAAAATCGAATTTTCCTGCAATTTTCACTGAAATCTTTGGTCAATGATCACCCTCGATAGTCGATACTCTATGCATATTTTTCACTGGTATAAATATCACAGGATGTATTATAGACTAGTTTACCTAATAGACAATATTTATAGTGTACACGTGTAGTAAATAGCAATACTTGGTAAATATTATATTCGAGAGTAAAATATTTTAAATAAATTATGTACCCTGCTAAACACTATTTTCTTGTATCAGTTATTAAAATTTTTTTTTTATTTGTATTGGGTAAATTATTTAATCAATCGTTCTTTCATGTTGATAGTCAAGGACATTTTATTCCAAATCAAAAAAGTTACGTTTCAAATTATCTAAAACATTAAATTGATTAAATTTTACGCAGGTAAGTATAAAGATATATCTCTTACCAACCGTTATTTATAGTATTAATTTTAACTATAGTTATTTATAATATTTTGAATCATAAAATATTTTAATTTCACAACTTCTAGCTTAAATCATTCTTATCGCTAGACAAGGTTACAAAATATATAGTATAATATTATGATTAAAAAATAATTTATTCCGAATTTAAACTCTACCACAGTACCACCTTATGGTAGTTATTTCCCTTAATTAATTTATACGAATAGAGATATTGACAATTATCCCTAACATGCTTTCAAATATAAATTCTTAAACGATCAAAACCATTAAATTCAGTACCATTTCATTTAATTCCTCTTATAGAATGTGAAAAGTATTGCATATCACATGTGATCAGTACCTAAATCCTATTTTACTGAATTGCTTCCTAATATTTCCTCCACACATTCAATATTGAATTTTCAACGTAATTATTTTTAATTGCTTACTTATACTAAATAGGTACGCACTTTATTTGGACGACATCATAATTGGTACTAAATTTAGGTTTAGGTAATTTTAATAAATATACAAGTGTTTTTTTAAAAATAAATTGGATGCCTCATGTATATTTCCCTAGCCCTCTTCAACAAAATGGTGGACATATAATATTGATGGTTGAATTTTTTTCTTTTTATAATCACCATCATTTAGGGTAAAAGAGAAGATAAAAATATTTCAGTCCAATCATCTGTTAATTAGATATTTAGTTTAATTAGTACTTTAGAAGGTAATTTTTTTATTTCATACGAATAGTTATCCTAAGCCTTATAAGTTAACTTTCTAATAAGTAGGGCTGAGATTTTGATGTACTTTGTATTATTTTTCAAAACTCTAGCTACACGATGCTCGTTTTGTAACTAACACATTGCATGTACTTTTGAAACGAATTAAAAATTTGCATTTTTTGATAATTTTCGATTTTAAGGTTATTTTTTGATCTTATCATTCGTTCCATTTATGTATGACATTTTAATAAAATGTAACTTAAAAGTTAAAATAC